AAATATAAACTTTCATGGGACCTCAAACAAGTCAATAAAATAACTACACCATAATTCAGTAGTCATTTTTTTAAATGAAAATTTACAAATAAAATGAACAAATTCATTCACTCTTCATGAAATCCCAGACGGACTCGATAATAGTGGGTTCAGATTTCTGTGTGGCTCATATTGTCTAATGTCCAACTTAATGTGCAAATATCTTTATACATTGAATAGTCCACCAAAAAAAAACAATCATTATTTACTCACCCTTAAATTGTTCCAAACCTTTATGCATTTCTTTCTTCGGTGGAACACCAAAAAATATATTTTAAAGGGTTAGTTCACACAAAAATGAAAATGAAGTCATTAATTACTCACCCCCATGCTGTACCAACCCGGTAAGACCTTCGTTCTTCTTCGGAAAACACAAATGAAGATATTTTTGATTAAATTTGAGAGGTGGATCACTGCTACATAGGCTTGATGGCCCAGAAAGTCAATGAAGAAAATGTTTAAATATTCCATGTGACTACAGTGGCTCAAGTATAAGTTTATCAAGCGACGAGAATACTTTTTGTGCGAAAAAACAAACAAAAATAACAACTTTGTTCGACTATTCCTTTTCTTCCTTGTAGGCCTGAGACGAGAGTTCAAGAGATTTCCACGACGCATGCGCGAGAATTGCGATCTCCTTCAACTACTTCAGTTCAGTTCTCGCGCGTGCGTCGTGGAAATCTCTTGAACTCTCGTCTCAGGCCCAGAAGGAAGAAAAGGAATAGTCGAATAAAGTCGTTATTTTTGTTTGTTTTTTCGCAGTAAAAGTATTCGCGTCGCTTAATAAACTTTTAGTTAATATTCAAACATTTTCTTCAATGACTTTCTTGGCCGTCAAGTTTCAGTCCCTTAGGGTTTCTATGTAGCAGTGATCCACCTCTCAAATTTAATCAAAAATCTCTTCATTTGTGTTCCGAAGACGAACGAAGGTTTTACAGGGTTGGTACAGCATGGGGGTGAGTAATTAATGACTTAATTTTCATTTTTGGGTGAACTAACCCTTTAAGGACGTTGAAAACCAAACTGTTTCTGTTTCCATTGACATCCATTTTTCTCCATAGAGGAAACTGAAACTTTCTTCAAAATATCCTCTTTCATTTTCCTCAGAAGAAACAAATTTATACAGGTTTTGGAACTACATGAGTGGTAGTAAATAATATAATTTTTATTTTTGGGTTGACTGCCATTTAAATGGAAAAATGAATGCTTGGAAATGTTACCTGAGAGACATTTGCACATCACTGTACATGTGAATATTAGGGCCGCTGTGTGTGGGTAAGCATAACTAAGAAGTCAGAGGATGACGTCGATGAAGATGCCGATGAGGAAGAGAAGGAGGAAGAACCTGACGAGCCGGAGCCCGAGATTGGACCTCCTCTTCTGACGCCTCTGTCTGAGGATGCAAGTCAGTCACACTGCATCACATTTACATACAATACACCTCCAGCACAGTTCTGCTCTAATGCAGAAAACACTCTGTCCACAGAGATTCGTGACACCCCACCCTGGAGCTCCATGATCTCCTCAAACCTCATTCCTCAGTTTTCCATCGCTGTGCTGCGCTCCAACCTCTGGCCTGGAGCTTATGCTTATGCAAGTGGCAAGTAAGAACCTTACTTTTTAAAACTAAATACCTACTAACAGGCCAATCTAACCATCTCTTTAAATCTGATGCTTTTTCTGCTGAATTAATGCATTTTTCTGCTCCCTCTCAGGAATTTTGGAAACATATACATTGGTTGGGGGTTGAAATATCTCGGAGAGGCCTACACCCCGATGATGCTTCCACCGCCCCACAGCGAATACCCCAGCGGACTGGAAATCACAGAGGCCCTGGACCCCAGCGTGGAGCAAGAGCAGGCTTTGCAAGCAGCCCTGGAGGAGCAGACGGCGGCCCTGGAAGAGACAGAGGATCTGGAAGAGGATGAGGATGATGATGATAGTTAAAATGAAGGTGTGACTCTGAAATTAACAAAAATAAACCTAGAGCTTGGTCAGATCTGTTTAACCCTTTGCGTACAATCACACATTTTGTAGGTTTTAAGTAACTTTAGAATTTACTCTATTTTTCTCCCACTTTACCAGCCACTTACAAGTATTTCGGGAGAATGGGATGTATTAACATGTTGTAAATCCAACAGATACGATTCTCTGAATTGCGGCGCCAACACCCATCGTGCGTTGTAGATCAGATTATAAAAGTTTTACAATGATCATGTTATCTTAAATCACATTGGGTGGTCAGCTAGAATATTTTAAACTTGCATGTGAAAGGATATTTGGTAACACTTTACTTGAAGGGGTGTGCATAAGACTAACATGACACCTTCATATGTCTCATTTTTTGAGATGTTTTTGTTATGACACCTTGACATAAACCAATACATTATAACCTGTCAGTCTCTCTGTCATGACAACTTGACATTACTAAGACAACACAACCTGTCATAAACGTGACAGCAGATTAATTATCAAACTTTAACCACTTCGCTTTATTGGTAAACATTACATTAAACTGTCAGGTGGTTGGTTTTGACATTGGCTGTCATGAATCCATTATAATTTTTTAATGAAAAATTCAATTAGTACTGTAGTTGAGGTTACGGAAAATATTCATGACATAGTTATAATGGCCTCATGATAGCCAATGTCAAAGCCAACCACATGACAGTTTAACTTCATTTTAATGTCAAGTTGTCATGACAAAGATGTCATATTTGCATTCAAAATGTCATTATTGAGCGAAAGACACTTGTCATAAACATGCATAAACCCTACTTCATATTCAAGACATATGTCATGTCATGGTTATGAAGGTGTCATGTCAGTCTTATGCACACCCCTTCAAGTAAAGTGTTACCGGATATTTAAGGTCAGATACTATGTGCAATTCATTAAGGAATCTAAACAGTGTCTTAGTATGTTTTTCCACATCAATGAAATATTAAGATTTGACAAAACTTGAGGGAATCATATAATTTATTTGCTTTTAAATTCAGTTAAACATAACAGCTTTGATGAATACACACATGCTTCGACTGTTGTAACACCTCGCTCCAAACACTGTATTTTGTGTTACACTTCATTTTTTTGTTCAGCCATGCTTTTTTTTTCTCCATGCTTAAGTTCCTGTATTGGTACACAATTAGTCGTAAGCATCTATGTGTACGCAGATTAAATTGTCATCCAAAAAGCACACTTTATAAGTAAAACGCCTATAATTTCTAGTGGCTTTTAGGTAACAAACAATATGATCCTATTAGTTCTCTAACATCAAACTAAAATCAGCATGATATTAGCTTCATAACAAAACTATGACAACTTCATGGCAAGTTGGTTCCTCAGGTACGATTTTTTTTTAACAATCGTTAGACCATATTTCTCAATACTTGGGACACTTTTTCAAAACTCTTCACACAGTTTCAAGTCATTCTTCCATAACATTAGTACACAAACGCACTGTGTCAACCATAAAACAACAACCTAAAAAACACTAGCAACAGGTAGCATTACAAAATTTCTTTACAAAACAAGAACGACATTTCACTGCATGGTCCATGTTTACATTACAAAATTATTCCTAAATGGTCACTTTTGTACAGATGGTGAAATTGAAAAACCAAGGGCTGGTTCACTTCACACAGAACACAGTTTTCGCATTTTCGAACGCATGTAAACTCGCTAGACGGAAGTGTTTTAACTGTTGCGTTTGCATCATTTGTGGCGTTCAAGTTAAAGTAAGTTTAACTTTTAAAGTGCACGTTTTTTCTTGAGTCTTTTCGCTCCATTGACCTGCGTCAAAAACACATTCTAAACGTCTATGTAGGTGTTCAGCTGTATCAAATTGTTTTGATAGTATTTCATTTTTTAGATTCAGAATATATTTCAATGTGGTATTACTTTAAAAAAAAATGCAGCTAAGTGCCATCTTAATCATTTTTGTGTTTTTAGCTTAAGTTTTGAGCTTAAGTTTAACAGTTTGGAAAGAGTATGTAAATGTGCAAACTGAATTTTATAGGAGGTTGTGTCTAAGTGAGAAATGACTTTGTCATTTGAAAGTAGCCAAAGCAATGAGAAATGAACCACAGTTTAGCCCAAATAGACTGTCTATTAGAGCCCGACCGATGAAGGATTCTTAAGGCCGATACCAATACAAATATTTATTGGTTTTAAAATCCGATATATCGGCCGATATTTTTATTTTTTATTTTATTTTTTTTCAGAAACGCGCAACAAAACATTAACAGATTTCCCTAACATTAGTTATTTGTAGTTATTTATGAGTTTTTACTAAAATAATATGATAATGCATTTTAAAAAGAAACTTATTTCTTTTATTGTCACAACAGAAACGAAGAACATCAAAATATATTAAAGTTCTGATAAATAAAATAATAATTAGTCCCTACATTGCCTTATAAGCTACTTGCAACCTGGATCAGCAGGTTGCAGGATGTGTGGCGCGTTATACACGAGCAAGTGTTGCCAACAGGGACATGGTTGAAGCGTGTTTCGTCCATTTTTATTTTATTTTTTAAATATTCATTTATCGGCCATTATAACTGCCGATACCGATAGTTTGGAAAATGCCTAATATCGGCCGGCCGATAAATCGGTCTGGCTCTACTGCCTATGTGCTCACAGTTCTGAAAACGTGACCTAAGTACTGAAAAATGTGTCCTAATTGTTGTTAAAAATCTATTTAATTCACAATACAACATAAAGAACTTGCACAGTTAGTCATGAGCATGAATTTCTTTCTTCTGCTGGACACAAAAAAAAAGATATTTTGAAGAATATGGGTAACCCGACAGTTAATGGATGCCACTGACTTCCATAGTATGGAGGGGGAAAATACTATGGAAGAAGTCAATGGTGTCCATCAACTGTCTGGTTACTCATATTCTTCAAAATATCTTCTTTTGTTTTCAGCAAAAAAAAAAGAAAAAAGAAACTCAAACGTGAGTAAACGATGACAGAATTTTAATTCTCAGGTGAACTATCACCCAAGCATGTCCTCCATTGAGGAAAACAAGACAATGGCAACTAGTGTTATTTCAGCTGATTCTACCTGATCATATTTACAGTATTTTGCACAATTTATACTTAATTAGAATGATTATAATCACTAATAATAATAATTATAATCTCTAATAAATTCTACCAAGTATTGTTGACACATACAAAGCCTTGAATGGATCAATAAATAAAAATCAAATGTTAATTTACAACCGTTAATTGTATAATAATAATAATTAATAAAATAAATAAAATAATAAAATAACAATAAATAAAACAACTACTGAAGCTGCACACACATGAATGGAAATGTTAACACATAAATAATCACATTTCTAATGAGTTACATTAACCACAAGGGGAAGTTGTGGTCAAAGCTGGTAACATACAGTAAATCCTACCCAGGATTATTCTAGAAGAGGGGATAAAAGTTATATTTCCTTTAAGACTGTAGGATTTGGGAGAAAAAAAGGCTCTGGACAAAATGTACTTGACCTTAATTTACACATAAATACACTGTGAGAAAGAGAGAGGAAGGACAGGAGAACGGGTGGTGTGCTTTGAATCGTGACTTCACATTAGCGAAGGTCGTTCTCGTCGTCCTGAATGGTCTTCTTGATTCTTAGTAACATAGTGGTCTGCCACTGATCAAGCCTGGAGATGGATTCAAATTCCCTTACCTAATGAAAAATAATAGAGTAAAGGCCCGTTCATAAGGACTTTATAGAGATATAGTTCTAAAAAACATTCTAAATACAAAAGAATAGCAGAGTCCACACCACAAGTATAACGATAATGGCAAAGAGGAACGATACATCATTGGAATCACAGAACGATTTTTTTTCCAGCTGATTGAACCATAAAAACATGTCGGCAATGTCAATCAGAATCCATTCCGCTTTCAAGAGTGCAAAACTGCAGGACACTTAGAATAACAGAATGATATCGTCCGCTGGTGTGGATGCTGCTAACAGTCCTTAATTCATAAATGAACTACCACTGGTAAAATGTGTGCAGGGAATTATGTAAAACCTGAAACAATATAGAAAGAGAACTTACTGCATCAACATATGCGTCAATATTCTGCTCTTCATATGCATCAAGAAGTTTCTGTTTAATGTGAAATGCAGAAACATTGTGATTATTTTGTATAAAGCGTCCCAAAATGTTCAAATACTTCCATTCAAAAGTTTGATGTTGGTACGTTTTTTGTTTTTTTGTTTTTTTAAAAAGAAATACTTATACTTTTATTCAGCAAGTATTACATTTTAAAATATATTAAAATAGAAAACAGTTCTTTGAATTTATAATAATTTTTCACAAAGATTTCGCTGTATTTGTAATCCAAGCAATGTAGTCCTGGTAAGCAGAATATACTTCTTTTAAAACCTCAACCTCAAACTTTTGAACCGTAGTGTTTATATATAAAAATGTACAAAACAATTAAAAGAGACAATGGAATCTAGATGTGTTTGGTTGATCGGATCACAAGTGGACGACACTAGATACAGACGTAAAAGGGGTCTAAAATGTTTTGAGCTTGACCACTTCCAGAGGTAGGCGAAAACACATTAGACTGGATTGCAAACAGCCGTCTACTCTCCGCCTACTGACCTAATGTGTAAAGATTATGGGAAGTGCGCAATACAGGCGGAGACCCGAGTTTGGTTTGAAGATGAAAAACGTACCAAGCTCAATGTTCTCTCAGCATTCCTGATTTCTAACACACACTTACAGTATTTGATGTGGTCTTACGACTGTCAGAGCGGAAACATAAGCTGATGCTCTCTGTATGTTTTTCCGTCGTCAGTGTGTGCGTTCATATGTAAATTGTCCAAGCTTATTTTTTTCTATTAGATTTAAAGATCTGAAAAAAACCTACATTTTCCCACCCATAGACCCTTCATTCGGAGAAATCAGGACAGAAGTGGTTGAAAGTGGACAAAAGAGACAACCGCTGATTGATATGATCTGATTGACCAAAACACATCTTAAAGGAGTAGTTCACTTTTTAAAAACATTTGCTGATAATTTACTCACTCTCGTGCCATCCCAGATGTCCATGTCTTTCTTTCTTCAGTCAAAAAGAAATTAAGGTTTTTGATGAAAACATTCCAGCATTTTCCTCCATATAATGGACTTTATTGGGAACCAAACGGTTCAAGGTCCAAAAGACAGTTTCAGTGCAAACTGCAAACTGTTCAAGGGGCTTTAAATGATTCCAGTTGATGAATAAGGGTCTTATCAAGTGAAACGATCGCTCATTTATTTTTTTTATTTTTTTTACAAAGTTTAAGTTTTATAAGCTCAAATGCTCACCTTGTTCTGTTCTGTGATGCACGTTTGTGACTCTCCTGTTCAAACTCGTTCATCAATTGAACAAATCTTTTTTCGTGTCATTTGGTGCATTCAACGAACGAAATGATCAAGTTGACTTTGGAAAAGATTTGTTAATTTTGATAAGTTCGAACAGGAGAGTCACGAACGCGCATCACAGAACAGAGCAAGGCGACCATTTGAGCTTAAACAACTTTTTTTATTTATTAAATGAGCGATCGTTTCGCTTAATAAGACCCTTATTCATCGTCTCGAATCGTTTACAGCCCTTTGAACAGTTTGCAGTTTGCACTGAAAGTGTCTTTTGGACCTTGAACCATTTGGTTCCCATTGAAGTGCATTATATGGAGAAAAATCCTGGAATGTTTTCATCAAAAACCTTAATTTCTTTTCGACTGAAGAAAGAATGACATGGACATCTTGGATGACATGGGGGTGAGTTAATTATCAGCAAATGTTTTTTGAAAAGTGAACTACTCCTTTAATACCAGGTGTAAACAGGCCTTGAGTTGAAGTCACAGTTGAAGTCTCTGGAAGAATCTAAGCAATCCAATTTGTTGGAAGAAAAGACTCACCTTAAGAAGTCTGCACTCTCTAGCATCTGAGAAAGCTGGAAACAGTTCTTCATACTTCTGTACAGCCAGCTATTGAAGAGAGCACGGATCAAATAATGATAAAGCAGAGTTACATTGTAAATTCGATTCTTCTTCAGACTGTGAACAGGTCAAATCAGTCACCTTGCAGTTGAGCATGTCCACACAGAAGTGACACAGCGCTGCTTTGAAGAAATAGTCTTTAGCACCATACTTCAACAGGGTAGTGTCCATGGAGTAAAACCCAATCTGAACAGACACAATATGCCACTCAACGTGAAGGGTGAAGAAAACTAATAAACACAGGTTTTCGACAGAAGATCACACAGACCTGCTCATATATTTCAATGGCTTTCGGGTACTGCTCCATCTGAGCCGCATAGGTCGCCACTTTGACAAGACACTTGTTGGCTGCACTACAGAGAGAAAGAGAGAGAGTACAAGAGATTTAAGTATATGCAATAATTAAATTACAACACAACTTCTTTGCTCAGACCTAAACACTTCTGATACACGTGAAACATAAAAGCATATAAAAACTATAGTATAGTACCTGGTGGATGACTCCCCTTTGAAATAATCGGCTGCCTGTTCATAATGAACAATGGCCTGTACACATAAATAAGTATTTTGGGACCAAATAATAACAAATGAATGAACACTACTTTTCTTTCATAAGGGGCTCACTCTATTGTGATAGGCTCAGTATGGATCATCTGATGCATTAGAAAATACACTACCATTCCAAAGTTGACATTTTTAAAATAACTATTTTATTATATATATATATATATATATATATATATATATATATTAAAATTTAATTTATACTTGAGATGGCAAAGCTGGATTTTAAGCATAATTACTCCAGACTTCAGTGTCACACACTCTTTCAGAAATTATTTAATGTTGATTTGCTGCTCAAGAAACATGTTTTATTAATAATATTGTGAAAAGTTGCTCTGCTTCAAGTCTTAAAAAACATTTTTATGCTTTTATTCAATCTGAATCACTTACTGATAAATGTCCACCTTTCCATAAAAAAAGATCACTTCCAACTTACTTTGTCTATATCCAATAACTCAGATTCATAGATTTCTGCAATAGATATGTGGTGTTTTGCTGCAATGTTGAAACGCCCCTGTGGACACAGATGAAGGAATATTCAGAGAAGTGTATCACTACAGACAAAACAAAAACAAGCACACAATTTACATATACAATGTTGAATTGTGTTGGAACAAATCATATGGATTATACAATCTCTTTATGAATTGTTTAAAGTGTCAGTTGCGTAGCTGTCAATGAAGGGACAGAAATGCCTCAGATTTCACCAAAATATCTTCATTGTAAAGATTTACGGGTTTGAGTCTTTAATTTTAATTTTAAAAACTTTAATTTTTGGGTGAATAATATAGTTTTTCTCACCATATCTGTGTAGATGTCAATGGCCTGACAGAAACAGTTTATTGCCTCTGTGTAGAGAAGTTGTACAAATTAAACTCCTTTTGAAATCGAAACACTACATACTTTGAGATTTTTATAGTTCAGTTTTCAAAAGTAACAATGAGAGTTGTACCTTGAGGATCAGACTTCTTAAATGCATTTCCAGCATCAAGAAAGTTAACGGCTGCATTGTGCTTGCTGTCCACCCGTAAATGGAGTTGTGCTGATTTGCAGAAGGCATCTCCAGCGGCTTAAATAAAGAAGAAGAAGAAGAAAAAAAATCAACAATAGAACTGCCTTGTGCTTAATGAACATCTTAAAGGGATAGTACACACAAAATTTAGTTCATTAATTACTCACCCTTTCTGTTCATCGTTGGAACACAAATGAAGATCATTTTTATTAAGTCCGAGAGTTTTCCGTCCCTCCATTGACAGCTACGCAGCTACCACTTTGATGCTTCAAAAAGTTCATAAAGAGTGTGTAAAACTAATTTAGCGTCCAAAATTTCTGAAGAGACAATCACTTTATATGATGAACGGATTCAATTTAGGGTTAGATTTAGCGAACATAAACCGAAGCTCAAACATGCGGCATAACACGAGAATGAACCTCATTGGTTCTCAAACGTCAAGTGAACATACTCGAGCTTCTGTTTACAAATGATGAATGTTTATATGTGAATAAAAAGCCTAAATTCATTCTGTCCATCATACAAAATTATTCAGAAGATTTGGACTAATCCACTCAATTCATTTGGATTACTTTTACAATCTCATTATGATCTTTTTGAAGCGTCAACATGTTAGTTGCGTAGCTGTCAATGGAGGAACAGAAATCTCTCATCTTCATTTGTGTTCTGAAGGTGAAAGAAAGTCTTACAAGTTTGGAACGACATGAGGGAGAGTAATTAATGACAGAATTTTCGTTTTGGCGTGAACTATCCCTAGTGGTGTAAAAGTTGCTGTGTATCGTACCACTCCAGTTCTTAGCCATCTTGAACATGTTGGCTGCTCTCACGTACAAGTCACAGGCCTCCTCGACCTTGGAGGAACTCCTACAGCACAATGAACAAAAGCGAGAGAGGAGATTCACTCAAACCATTAGGCGGCGCTATTAACATCTGTCGTCCCCTGCACTCGTACAACGTGTTTTCAGACCTGATATGGCCAACATGAAGCAAGAGGACACAGAAATCAGTGTGAAAACACAGGCCCGATATTGCTCAATAGCCTGGAAGTACTACATTAAAAATGAGAGCAATGCCACTGTTTACTGCAGGCTGTGTAAGACGGACTTTAAGTTCTCTTCTAATACAGCTAACATGATAAAACACCTCAGAGTGAAACATCGACTGAACATCCCCGCAGTAGCCAACGGCGGAGAGAGACTGTGCGCAGAAGGGCCAGGCGAAGGCAACATGGGTGAGTTTCAAAAAAGTATAAATCTGGGCAAAACGAGCAGCATCACTTAGTGTGCATTGGGTTTGAGTGGAGTATTAATTAAATTGTCAAGGAAACGCTTCGTTCAGTGCGCACAACTCTATAATTATGACGCTTTATGCTTGCAGTGCGATGCTAACGTTAACTTGGCTAGCTGACCGAATCACTCTTGCGAAAAATCTGCGGATAACTAACATATAGTAGATTTATGACAGCTTAATGCGAACTACGTTATATTACAAATAATGAAATTTCCAAAAGTATTCCTTTTTTAATCTAACGTTAAATTAATAACAAAGATCGATATCAATATTGTTTGTTGCAAACGGATATTAATTAATACCAATCACTTTAGTTAGATTTTAAGATTTGCAAATTCAATATTGCAGAGATGCAAAAAAAAAAAAAAAAAAAAAAAAAAGAACCATTAATAATAGATTTACCCGAAAAACGTTCCTAACAGCGAATGCGACGTTTTCATTTTCTTGTCTGCCTCAGCCATAATGGCCAAGGCTTCCTTTTCTTTTCCAGAATAATCCATTTGTCAGATTAGGCTTGGCCTGGACTGTATGGAATGATATCCAAGCTAAATCTCATTCACGTCGCCTAGAATCAAGTTATTTGTTTTATTGACACATCATGCGGAAATCGGAAGTAAATTCAACTTAAGGGACTGTCGGTAAATAGTTGTTTTCATAATAACAGTCGACAGTGCTGTGGTATTAACTCGTTGCTTTTTTGAACATATACGTTATTATCTAATTTCATGAAGCAGACATTTTCTACCTGAATAGTGTCGTGTAGTATTGTATGTTATATAAATCTGAATGATGGATTGTTCGCTTTTTTTTAAATTGCGAACAACTTATCTTACCCTTGTACCCTAACGGGCATCGTGCTAAACACATCCAGTGTGTAGGTCGCAAACGCGCGGAGGTTGTGCGGGGATTCTGAGATTTTGAAATATATATATATTACTAATAAGATATTATTTATTTTCAGATAGCAAATAAGATGTACAAGTTATTGTCGCTGAATCGTGTACTGTTTAATAGAGGTTAACACAGGCAGGAAGTGGATGAACCATAATGGCCCTTTACACGCCCGGAAGAACATCCAGTGACGTTTCATGTAAATAATAGCGGAATTTTATCAAGCTGCATATTGTTCTGTGCCTAAATACTCTTTTGCTGTGATTGATGTGTGGTCGTTATCATAATTCTAACCTTATAATTCATTCAAAATATTTCCGCGAGAAACAAAATGTTTTTGAATTAATTTGAGTGGAGACGGCAGTCTTGCTGTGTGACATGCAGTTATTTCTCAAAATTTTCGGTTCTAATAATTAACAGTTATATAAAGAGTTATGAAATAAATTATTATGAGTGACTACTACATGGATTATATACTTGTAGTTTTAAGGACTTTTAAGGAGTTAATATTAGGTCACTGCCTGAAAAAAAAAAACATATATATATATATCCCCAGACAGTGACTTAATAGTAAGTCCTTAAAACTACAAGTATATTATCCATGTTGTAATCACTCAAAATAATGTATTTCATAAAACTGCTTATATAATTATTATAACAGAAAATGTGTGTGTGTGTGTAATATATATATGTGTGTATATATATATATATATACACACACACACACACACACACACACACACACACACACACACACACACAGACACACACATCTAAAACCACATTCTCTTATACAAATATGTTCTTTTATAGTTTTTCCACAGTGCTGCAGTTTGGTTGTGACAGTAAAATGTTCTACAACCAGCCACATCTGAGATTAAAAAATAAAAATAAAAACAAGTTGTGATGGGTAGTGTAGAATTAAAAACAAACTTCAACACGAAAGCTATATTGTAGATGGAAAAACCTCTTAATTTATATAACCAAATGGAAATATTTTGTTTTGGGAACAACAAACAGTGTAGCTAGCTAGAAACTCTTTAACGGCCACACAAAACTCTCTCTTTCTCCCACACACAGAACTGATTCATACACAGTGATTTGGTGAGCTGAGGCTATGACAAAAGATTTTAATAAACTGTATGTGAGTAATGCCATAGCAACGGGTCAGAAATTAAACAATTACACACAGTGCTGATTCTTAAGTTTTACATGAATTGTGTTGTCCCCCAGAAAACGTCACATATTAACCTCGACTTACCATTTCTATGGAAAACATGTATTGGTTAGAAAAACCCTGACATTAAGGATTTAGGATTAAAGTTTTACCATTTTTTTGTGTCGATATCAAGTGTAATTGTGCTAAGTTCCTGTGTAATCCAGTTTTACTTGTTTTACTTGTTCACCACAGACATGGATCTCCCACCACAAATGCATCCTGAAATCCTCAGCGGTCAAAATCTCAGAAGGAGAATGCAGCGTTTTTTGCCATTTTCGGATCGCCGCACGTCCAAAGTGTGGAACCACTACACTCAGCTAAGTCTGCATCGTGTCGAGTGCAACCATTGTAAGAGACAGCTTTCCTTTCACAACAGCACTACTTCCATGAGAGAACACTTAGGACGCAAACACAGCATTCGGGATGGAGCCGTACCCCCTCACAACACAGCAGGCATCCCCACCCCTGCAGCATTACATTCACACATTCAGACTGCTTTACAAGCTAACAGATACAACACTGCAGGCAATGCTGCGTTTCAACCAGTACTACCTGTTGCTATTAAAGAGGAGCAGGTAGAAGTACTGACAGCTGAAATGGGAGAGATCAAACCTGCTCGGACCACGTGCGCACCTGACTGTGCGGCCGGAAGCGGTACTTCGAATTCCAATGCCATTGTGCACCAAGACACAGATGTGGGCTGCCTAATGTATAATTATCCTGCGGGGGAGATGAGCAGCACTGCTGGAAGCAGTAGCATCCGCACCGGCTCAAAAGCCTGCAGCAACAAGCGAGCTGAGGTTTTGACCGATCTTATCTTGGAGATGGTCTTCAGAGACCTTCAGCCATTGTCTGTGGTGGAAGAGAGGGGGTTCAAGCTCTTACTGAGTTGCCTAGAGCCTAACTACCCCGTGCCGTCTCCATCTCTGCTTGGCAGTCTACTTTGGCATCGTTACCACATCCTGAAGCAATGCCTTCAGGAGCATCTTCAGGCAAGTCTAGCTTCCCACTGTCTGACCCTCTGCACCGAATACTGGCGATCCGTAGATGGATGTGGGGTTGGAGGGGATGGTCAGTACTACCTTACAGTCAGTGCGCATTTTGTTGACCCTCACTGGCGCCTGGCACGATGTGTGCTCGAGACCCGCCCGATAGCAGAATTCAAAGGAAACCCGTCGGAGAGAGGGCAAGTCAGCTATGCAGACACCCTGAAAGGAGTCCTCACCGAGTTTCAGCTTCCAGAGGACTTTGTTTTCTGTGTTGTGCATGACACCCCAAGTGGATCCGAGTCCGGTGGGCAGGAGAATATGACCATCGATCCGGAATATCAGCAAGAATTCGCTGGACCCAGCCATCCTCCCCCCAGTAATCTTCCGGAGGGATGGTCACCTCTGCTTTGTGCAGGACAGGCCCTGAAACTATGCGTCCAGGAGGGACTTTGCGTGGAGACTGTGAGACAAGCTCTGGCAGATGCTCGCACCATCGTCCTACACTTCCAGCATGATGTGAGCGCTTCGACAGCACTGAGCCAGAAAGCAGAGGCTGATAATAAAGAGTCTGCATCCCTGGTCTTGAACGACCCAGGGCGCTGGACCACGGCCATTGAGATGTGTGAGAGTCTTCTGGAGCTCAAGTGGGTAATAAGCTCCGTCTTAGAGGAGCAAAAAGTTGCAACCAATCTGGCAGATCACCAGTGGCGCCTTATACATGAACTGGTCCCTGTGCTCAAAACGGTTCGCATTGCGGCATCGTTTTTGAGTGAGGACATCAATGGACCCATTTCAGCCCTGATGCCATGCCTCCAAGGAGTGTCTAGGCTCCTGGGACAGAAAATTGTCGAGTGTACCTGTCCCGTGGTGAGGGGGGTTATGGAGAGAATTCGTGCTGGTATGGACAAACGCTGGAGTCTGAGTGATGAAGATGCTCTTCTGGAGTGCCATGCCGTACTGTCGTCATTTCTGGACCCACGTTTTAAAGAGTTGCGGTTTCTCAGCCCACATGCCCGTAGCAAGCTTCATGACAAGGTGAAAGAGCTGCTATCTGTCCAGGCTTTCACAAGGAGTGAAGGAATGAATGGAGAGAGAAGCCAAAGCGTGCAAATGGAAGAGACTGTGGATGAGCGGGAAGAACCTGTAGATTTTGAATTGGATGATTCTTTGACACTGCCTGTAATGGCTTCTTTGGATTCTCCTGAATCGTGCGGCTCAGCGGAGGAAGGTGACAGCGTTGAGCTGCAGCCAAGCGAGCCCTTCGTTGCCATATCGTCTCCAGAACAGGTCAATGAAAATCCACTTGAGGTTGTCAAATCCCCTTTCAAGAACGCCAATGAACGTAAAAGACGTTCTAGTGGGACCAGTTTGACCTCGCCGCTGAGGGGAGATTTACAGCACACGCCTCGAACACGAATAAGTCCTCTCCCACAGAGCATGTACGATATTCTTCTGGGCGAGGACCCTACTGAGCGAATGCCCGAAATTCACCAGCAGCTGGAGAATTACATAGCAGAGCCTCTCTGCAGACGCAGCCTCTCGCCTCTGCAATGGTGGCGCAACAAGGAGCATCGCTTTCCTGCGGTGGCCAGACTGGCGCGAAAATACCTGTCCATACCAGCAACCGCTGTTTCCGCCGATCGGACCTTTGCCCCTAGGGAGTCTCCAGTGACCCAAAGAAGGGCCACATTGGGATCTAAACACCTCGATCATATTTTGTTTCTCCATCAGAACACCGATTACGTAGATCAGCTGAAAGGTGGACCCTCTGCACGTGAAATTGAGCAGTGGAACAATGTCAGTGGAAACCAAAGCAGAGAAAGTCTTTACCAGACTCTAGTGTCTTATGAAAGTAAGGTTCGTGTGCCTGAGGAAGAGTCATGATCACTGTTTATTTTTTTTGTTACATTTTTGAACAGTTCTGTCACATCCCACAATAAGCTCCTTTAAAGGGATAGTTTACCCCAAAATGAAAATTTTGTCAGTATTTATTCACCCTCATGTTGTTCCAACCCCGTAAGACCTTCGTTCATCTTCGGAACATGAATTAAGATATTTTTTGATGAAATCTGAGAGCTGGATCACTCCTGCATACTTGTCCATAGGCTTCTTGAGGAATTGAAACTTGCTGGCCGTGAAAAGTTATTAAAGACATCGTTAAAATAGTCCAAGTGACTACAGTGGCTCAATCTTAACTTTATCAAACGACGAGAACACTTTTTGTGCACAACAAACAAACAAAATTAACAATTTTATTTCAACTATTCACTTCCTTCTCTATGGCCTCTAGTCAGTTAGCGTAGTGTGATTGCGTAGAGCTACGCCACACGTAGGCTCACTATTGGCCGACGCTGGTCACGTGTGTGATATGTGTGACGTACAATAACAAAAGCTTACGCTATTAAACTAGTAACCTGACTCGAGGCACAGAGAGAAGTAAATGAATAGTTTAAATAAAGTCGTTATTTTTGTTGTTTATTGCGCACAAAAAGTGTTCTCGTCGTTTGATAAAGTTAAGA